GGGTTGGGGGGAGGGGGGGGGTTGCTGATTGCAGCGCTCAGCCCTAATAATATTCTAATTACATCACATTTTGTTTTTCTTGTGACAAGTTGAAGGAAATAATTGTCATGAATAATGTGTTTTGTGTTTCATTAAGTATTGCTTCATTGAGCGATACTCAATAAAGATAAACAAACCTCATTCACAGCCACGTGCACCATATAATAACTCATCATTGCCAAAACCCGTCCAGACATAGCCAAGTCCACAATCAGAATGGAGCCTCAATATCAAAAGGCTAAGCAGGTCCGCTGCCGCTATCCAAGGCGTGTGAGTTCCCCATTGGGGGCCACTGTTAGTTTGGGCCACTGTGAGGGAATTCCTGGCACTGCAACACCATAAGAACCCCCCCCTCCCCTCCAGTATTAACCCTTCTCATGTCTCTAACATTTACACCCTTTAACATATTCATGTCATTGTTGGAGCGCATGTAGGCAGGAAGTGGCTGCAAAGTGGCTGCAGGAGATCAGCAGCGCTGAGAATGGGCACGAAGGAAGGACAAATGGGGAAAACGAGTAACTTCTAGAAGAAATCATGGTAAATATTGTTTGATACATAGAGCTTTGCAGAGTAAATATAATCCAGTTCGGGTTTTACATCTACTTTAAGAAACTTAAAGGGCCCATTTACACTGTTGCCTTTTGCAGTCCGTTTTGAAGCACTGGCAGAGTGAATGAACAAGCTCTGGCCAATGGCTGTGAGCTCCGCCCACTTCAAATCCTACATCAAAAAATTAATTGTAAAGCGAGCGTCAATAACGCATGTCAACGCGCAGAGGAAACACACCTTGATGCACATGACAACCCACCTGCCAAACAAACTCTCCTCTAGATCTAATGGGCCCTAACCCTTTGTCTATATCAGGGGTGGGGGACCTCAGCACTCCAGCGGTTGTGGAACTACAAGTCCCATGAGGCAGTGCAAGACTCAGGCAGCCACAGCAATGACCCCCAGAGACAGAGGCATGATGGGGTTTGTTGTTTCACCACAGCTGCAGTGCCAGAGTTGCCTACCTCCGGTCCACAGA